CTGTTGCTTGAGCTTTTGGTTCAGTCTACCAATGGCAGAAGCATGTGACAGAAGAATCCTGTATACCTCATGGCAGCAGGGAAGCAAAAAGAGAGAAGCCAGGTGTGATGGCACCCCACTGTAATTCCAACTACTTGGGAGGCTAAGACAAGTGGATCATGAGTTCAAGGTCAGTCTGTACAACTAGAGAGACCTGTTTCAATATGTTAAAAACTTTTTAGAAGGGGGGGGGGAGAGGAGAGGAGAGAGGAGGAAGAGGAGCCACAGATGCAGCCAGGATCCCAATATCTTCTTTGAGTGAACACCCCCAATGACCTAACTTCCTCCCACTAGGCCTCACCTCTTAAAGGTTCCACCATCTCCCAATAGTGCCTGAGCCTGGGACCCAGCTTTTAACAAATGGGTCTTTGAAGGACACTCCAGATACAAGCTATAGCAATCAATGTGGCCAGAATAAACTTGTAGGAGCCCAGGATGGTAAGCCCCAAAGGAAACAGGGAGATCTTGACCTCCAGAAGAGAAAATGGGAAGGAGATAAAGACAAAAGTCTTTTTAAAGGCAGACTAACCAAGCTTAATAATCATTTGGATATGGGGAGTGAGAAAAGGGAAGTAATGTTGCCTGATTGCTAGGTTTCTGGATGGGCAAATGTATGAGTAATGCCATTGACAGAGAGAATAGCAGAAAGGCAGCACACAATGCAATCAGTCTGCAACCTGTGGAGTCTTGTGTGTCAATGGAAATAATGTAGAGAAGCCTTGCAGCCCTTTGCACATTATTGAGATATTCATCTTCAGAGTTTGGTCATTCACTCCATCATTCATTCAACTAAATATTTATTGAGAGTCAAATACTGTTTCAGACCTGAGTATATAAAACAGACATAGTTCCTGCAAATAAACTACAAAATAACATATAATTACAAGTTGAAACACAGTATAATGGAAACAAACAGAGCAGAAAGTGTATAGAATGTCATGGGGGAAGGTCTTTCTGAGGTCACATTTAAGGGGAAACCTAAAAGATGGAGTCGGGAAAAGACAGCCAAAGAAAGCATGGCAAGGGGAAAGTTCTCAAGAGGAATTTGGAGAAGCAGAGGCTGAATTGTACAGGTCTGGTAGGCTGTGGCACAAAAATGTTTAAAAACTGTTAAGAATGGCAGTGAGGGAAACCAAGTTATGGCTTTAAAAAAATCATCTTGTATGTGGGGAAGGGGCTGCAGAGGGAGTGAACATAGGTGGAGGTAAAACAGAAAGGAGAGATTAGAAGGAGGTAAGAGAGGCCAGGAAAACCAGTAAGCAAGCCTATTGCAGAAATGCCTATAAAAGTTATTGCTTGCACTAGGCAGGAGAGAGGACAGAATTAGGTGATTTCTAGATATATTCTGGTGGTAGGATGGATAGGATTTGATGATGCACTGGGTGTAAGGAGCAAAGAATTTAAAAAGTGATTCCTGGGTTTTTGCCTTAATCAGGTATTTAATGGAATCATTTATTTTGATTAAAAAAAAAAAACCTGGGGGAGAAAGAATTGGGAAATGTGAAATCAGGAGATCTGTTTAGGGCCTCTCAAGTCCCAAATGTGGGGAAGCCTTCAAGCAGACAGAAGTTGAGGACTGAGCACATGGGACATATCTGCCCTGGGAACAGAAATGTTGGAACCATCAATTATGTGTGGTGTTAAAATCCATAGGAATGTAGAAAATCACACTGGGGCATTAGCAGGAGAAATTCCTGAGAAATTTTAGCACCAGGGCGGGGGAGGGGGGGAATCATTTATTTATTTATTTATACTAACAATTTAACAATCTGGATTTTTGAGACAGTTGGTTAAGGTAAAGAGGTAAAGAATATATTAAGACACCTTGGGAAAATTCCTTGTATACTCTTTTCAACATTTCTTTACATGTCTTTTTTTTTTTTTTTTTGGACTGGGGATTGAACCCAGAGCACTTAACCAGTGAGCCACATCTCCAGACCTTTTTATATTTTATTTAGACACTGGATCTCACTGATTTTCTTAGGGCCTCACTAAGTTGCTGAGGCTGGCTTTGAACTCCTGATCCTCTTGCCTTACCCTCTCAAGCCCCTGGGATTACAGGTGTGTGCCACCATGCCCATTACATGGAAATATTTTAAATGAGGGTAACATGCCTCATTCAAACTACAGGGATATTTATTAATACATTTAGCGAATAAAAGAAAGTAACAGTTTTCCTTTCCTCCATGTGTTTAAATTTATCAAATAGAAAAGGAAAAACTAAAAATAAAACAAACAACAACAACAAAAAACCAGAAGGCTTCTGACCAATTTTTTAAAAAAATGAGTATTAAGGAATCATAATTTCATAAACATTGTTTACATACTTTCTTTTAAATCTTAACATCAATTTGCTAAAACAAAATGAACATGACAACTTTGTTAAGATACATTTGCTGTTGCAAATCAACCATTTTTCATAAAATAAATTTGTTCTGAAATATACCCCAGGATGAACAAGTGCCTTCAGCAGCAGAAAAAGTTTTAAGTAGCCAATAGTATTCAATAGTGACAAACAGCAAGGCAACTGTGACAGTGACAATGGGAACAAGTGAGTGTTCCTGTTTCTCAGAACTTAGGAGAGGTACATGGATGAGAAGATTTGAATCATTTTAAAATTCAAATTTGGAATGGGGGCGGGCAGGCTGAGGGCATAGCTCAGTGCAGGAGGCCCTGGGTTCAGTACACAGTACTTAAAATAAAAGACCTAAAAAGAGCTTCTGGAAGCAGCAAACTTGTAATCAGCGGAGTGTCACTACAATACACCAAGTCAAACATCTTTACTTGCAGCTGTTGACCAATGCACACTTGAGCTGACTCAGTGGATAGAGTAGGGGTCTCTAGAGAATGCATATTGTGCTTGAAGAACACTGATGACATTTTTATAAGTATCTTCTGTCATCTATTTTTTATCTCCCTCCCTCCACTCGTTTCACCTTTTTGTTTTTGCTATTCAAAATTGTCCTGTGCAGTACTTCCTCTCTTCCTAAACTATGATCTTCACCATCATTTCTTGGAATTCCAAATTACCTTGAAGTTCAAGGTTCAAATGTGAATACAGAAAACACAAACAGAAGACAGGTTTTTCTTTTTCTTTCTTTCTTTTTTTTTGGGGGGGGGGGGGGGGCGGGTGTGAGGGGGCAGAGAGTAGACTTGAGTGACCTTAAAGACCCCTACACATCCTCCTAGGTATTCACTTTGCAGGGCGGGCGTGCTCACCACATCCTGTCCCCCAGTAGTCCTAATCCCTTCCCTTTTCATATGTAACTTTCACTTCTAGGTCCACAAAAATTTTTAATAATATTTCCTCCTTCCTCGCCTGTACTGGGAATTGAACCCAGGGGCTGTCTACGCACTGAACAACATCCCCAGTCCTTTTTATTTATTTATTTTTGAGGTAGGGTCGCCCTAAATTGCCCAGGTTAGCCTTGAACTTGCGATCCTCTTGCCTCAGCCTCCTGTATAACTAGGATTAGAGGCAGGCGCCACCACGCCGGCTCAGTAGGTCCTTTTGAGCAGCTGCGGTCTGTAGATTTATGCGATGACCCCAACGGAAATAATTTGAGGAGAGGGGAAGGGGCGGCCTTCCTTTCCAGGAGAGCCTTTATTATGTAATCTCTAGTTAATGAGCCTCTCTCTGGGCCTCAAACTGGGCGAATTATTATCCGTGTCCGCAAGGCTGGAGGAGGAGAGGATAAGAAGTTTCCTGGGTCTCTGGGGAAAAGAGCCTCTGCTTTCCCCAGGCCCTGCGGCAGGGCGAGAATAACCTGGCCGAGTCCCCTTCAGCTTCCCCAGCGGGGCTGCAGCGGAGCAAAAACAAATCGATCTTGTTTGGGGCCACAGCGCGCCTAACACGTCCCGCGGTGATTCGCTGCCGGGGTCCACGGCTGCGAGCTTCCTATTGGCTCCTGGGCCGACGCCGCGCCGTCTGGGGGGGCGGGGCCTGGCAGTAGGGCGGGGCACGTTGGCGGCTTCGTAAACTCTACACCCTAGAACCCGGCGGCCAACTGCTGTTCTCGTTGCGCGCTCGCTTCTTGGGGGTCCGTGAGCGCGCGGGGTTTTTTTTTGTTTGTTTAACTATGAGCGGAAGCGAGTGACAATTTAATAGCTCTCGCTGCGCTCTCTAGTTAAAACGAATCGCGTTCCCGCCGCGAGTCTCCTTCCACCGACCGCTGGCGGCTGCCGGGGCAGGCGCTGCGCGGACACGGAGCGCGGCTGTTTGGCTTCCTGGTTGCCTGGCTGCTGGCTCCGCGTCCAGTCCGCAACCTCAGCCCAGGCTCTGGATTAGAGACCCCGACGCCCAGGCTCGCGTGCCCCTGGCCTGGACCTCAGAACACCGGCCACTGCCCTCACCCAGGCCGCTGCACACGCAGCGATTTCTGCACACCTAGCGTGGAGCACATGCACACTGCCGTGTCCTCTCACACTCGCGCCAGGCTATTCTCACACGGCCCAGTTTCCTCACACACCAACTCCTTTCTCATCCTCATTCATCTCCTCTTACACACGCTTTCACACAGACTCACTTTTTTCTCTCCCATATACTCACTTTATCTCCTCTTACACACTCACCATCGGTCACACCCTCACACCAGTCCCATCTCACACTCAGGCTAGCCTCCTCCCTCCCGGTCGGTCACACCTGAGTCCCCTGCCTCTCAATCATCGCCTCTGGTTAGAGTTCGCACGATGTTCCTCCTCCATCCCAGCTTTCCTCCCCGGCTGGCCCTCGTGCACACTCATTCCGCATTCTACCCAGGCGCGGCCCGCAGTGGCACGTTGGCCCTTCGCGCCACCGATCATGGGAACCAGGCGGGGCCCCTTGGTCTCCTTGCCCCTGCTTGACCATCCATCTCCCTCCCACTCGGCCGCCAGACTTCAAAGGCGCCTTGGCGGGCCGGTGCCGCCGGACCCAGGCAGCCTCGGAGGCCGGGGGGCGCTCGCGGGCGGGGAGGCCTGGCCAGGGCGCGTAGGGCCCCTGCTGCGTCTCGCAGGGGCAGGCGGCGGGCCTGGAGCCGACCGCAGGGCCAGCCCAGCTGTGGCTTCACCAGGACCTAGAGGCGCGCGGGCCACCCGGGCCGAGCACACCCGCCCTGGAGCACTAGCCGGCGGGACCGGGCCCCGTTTCCTCGCTAGGGAAATCTTCCGCAAAAGGACTGACTCCTTTCCGAGGAGAATAAGAACGCATCATTCCTGGTGCCTGACCTTCTCTCCTAAAGAAAATGAGTCTCCCCTGGAGCTTAAGCCATATTTTCCTTCCTTCTTTCCTCCCCCCTGTTCGGACACCCCTAATTGACAGGCTCTAATCCTCGGATCGGAACTACTTCTGCCGAGAAGATTTGGCCGGCTTTTCCTTTTCTCTCAGCATTCCTGAAAAGCCAATTCGTTCTGAGCTTCATTGATGGCGGGCTGGGGGAGGAGGGCTACTTCCAACTTCTGGCACCACCTGGGTGGTCGCCATAACCCAACAATTCCTTTACAGCTGTTTATTCTCCTCGACTTTATAAAGGTTGTTTTGCATGGAATAGTTAAAGAAGGTTTAAGTAGTCTATTTTGGCATTGATCTTGTGTGTGTGTCCGGGGTGGGTTACACTCATTGATTTACATTTATCTATATTCAATTGGACTATGAGATTTTTGAGGGTAATGGTGTATTACCCAGTTCGAAGGCTCTAGATCCCAGTACCTGGCAAATAAACTCGACTTGTGCATTCAATTATGTTGAATTCAACTGAACCAGCTTTCTGCATGAAGCTTTCCAAACTTCATCAGACACATTTAAAACTGTTAGGTAAAGCCGTCCAAGAAATAAGGAAAAAAGGAGAAAACAAAAGGAGGTTGGAAGAGGGAATCACAGAATAATTTCAGATCCTTTGAAAGACATAGGTTAGGGTTAGATTTTCAAAGGTAAACCAGACAGATATTACCTGAGAATACAGAAATCCAAAACCATCATTAAACTCCTTGAGTTCATAGCGTTTTCCAGGTTAATGATGCCAACCTTCCTTAATATGTAACATTCTCTAACTTTGAATTATCTTTATTACTTTTCTAGTGTGCAAATCTTCAGCTGTGAACAAAAGACTTAAGTGAACACAGATTGTTCAGATCTAGAAAATGGAAACTGCTGATTTGGATATGATTTGTCTTCTAAGGGTTCATTATTGCAGATTTGGCCCTTACTTTGGCAATGTTAGAAGGTGGTGGAAACTTTTTAAGAGTCCAGTTGTAGGTAAGTAGGTCATGGGGACATCATCCTACAAGGCATTATTGTGGTTCTCCGGGGACAATTGCTGGTTAATACCCTCAAGAAGGGTTGTGATAGAAAAGCCAGCCCGACACCTGAATCTCTCAGTCTTCTTATCATGTGATCTTTCCATCTCCCACACATTCCTGACATGATTCATTCACTATGATGTGACACTAGCAAGAGGACCCTCACCAGAGTCCAAACTGATAGGGCTGATTTTGGACTTTCAGCTTCCAAAACTGAGCTAAATAAAACTTTTCTTTATAAAATACCAAATCTCAAGTATTTTGTAATAGCAACAGTCTGATAGAGCAACTTAGAGTCAGTCTTTCTTTATTTCTTTCTTTCCTTTTTAAGTTAAAAGATTTCAAAGGATGAACAGGGGTTAACATAATCATATTGTTTTTTTAGAAAAATTGTGGGCAGTATGTCAGATTAACTAAAGTGAAGAATAACCCATGGAAGAACATGTAGATTGTTTACAATGTAGACAACATTTTTTGCTCAACAATAAATTTCTGAGATATATCCATTTTGTGACATATAGATTTTTATTTTGATTGCAGTAGAGTATTCCACTGAGTGAATATACCACAATTTATTTATTCAACCTCCCATGTAGACATTGAGTATCCTCTTATCCCCCTTTTTTTTCTACTAGAAATAATCTTGTAGTGAAATCCTTATAGTGGTGGTCTCCTTGCTTGCAGGGAGTGTTTTTCTTGCTTATGACCATCAAACTGTAATTGCTGTGTTGTAGGGGTACGTATCTTCGTCTTTAATAGATATCACCAAGTTGTTCTTCAAAGTGGTTGTAACTGTTCACTGTCTTATCAGCAATGTTGGACACCTACTTTTCCCACATCCTCAACTTTTCCATCCCCCCACCCCAATTTTTTCAATATGAAGTGATAGATTATTTTAGTTTTACATTTTCCTAACTACTCATCCAAATCTTTAAAACTCTTTTAAACCAGCCTTCTCCAGTAGAGAAGTGGAACTGCTTTCCCTTTCCTGGGTTTCTTTTCACTTAGTAAATCCTCTAAACTACCACCAATTTTCCTACAAAGGAAATCTGATCTTGTCATACAACAACTTTAAGGAACTTTAAAAATAAAGATTAAATCTAAAAAAATTTATATTACATACAGTTTATTACTTATGCCAAATTATAAAACTTGGACCACCAGGATTTTACATACAACCCTGCTCTGTATCATCAACTTGATCTGTCAGTTTTCTGTGCTCTATGCTGAACTTGTTTTGATGACATCAATACACGAAAGACCTTTGCATGCAGGTCTTTCAGCTTATAATAGCTTTTCTTTCCTCACCTTCTCATCCTGCTTCTTAACTTGTGTGTCTCCTCTACCACTGAGCCTCATAAAGACAAAAGACTTTATCTTGTTCATTTTTGTAGCCCGGGTGCTAATCCTAATACAAGCTAAACAGCTAGGGTTCATGTCTTCTCTTTGCTTCTTTCTAGCTAGCTGTTGGAACAAGTTGCTTATCTTCTTGGGGTTTTCAATTCCTTACTTGTAAATGGATAAGGAAAAAAATGTGTTTTTTCCCAATCATAAGCTGAAATACACTCAAGTCAGCTGGGGTATAAGGACTATAAAAAGTTAATGCACAAGGCAGGAAGCCACATCTGAAATTATCTCATTACCTGTAAATGACCAGTTGCCTTCAGATGATGGGAATGTGACACACAAAGCATATCATTTCATTAGAGGAAAAGATTGAGGACATTGGTTTCATGAGTGAAAACCATTAAAGAGGCAAGCACTTTAAACATGACACAAATCAAGCAAGGTGATTTTTTTTGACATCTTTTCTAAAAAACTAAATAGATGCCGACTTACTGCTTAGCAGATTCACCTCTAAGAAAGACAATAAACTCTCTTGAACTTTAAAATGAAACCAATAGTAACTTTAGATCTACCAATTATTATAAAATGTTGCTTCCCCACACTGCTCTGGCCCATAAAGCTATAGCCAATATATATAGAGAAAGATAACCATTTTAAATTCATACTTTTTTGTGGGAGACAACAAATATCTTTCCTTGGATGAGTATTTTCTGACCCTAGGCTACATGTGAGAGTTCAAGTAACTTTTGCCCTTCTCAATGGCAGAATTCACTCATCTTCAAATTCCATGTTGTAAATGATGTCTCTTAAAGTAGGTGTCCTACTGGTCATTAATAAGTGTGTCAGCACAAAGTTCTAGCTCATGATACCTAGTAATCAAATAAGTTGGTTGTGAGAAGAGTAGGAGGATGCTTATCTCTCAGGTTGGCACCACATCTCAGAAGGATTAGCTTGTGTTCTGATGTCATTTTGCAGCACTGAGGATTGAACATTGAAATCTGCACACTCCCGGCAAGAGCTCTACCGCTGAGCTATATCCCCAGCCCTTTTGTCTTTTATTTTGAGACAGGATATGGTTAAGTTGCCCAGGCTGGCCTTGAACTTTCAATCTTCCTGCCTTAGCTTCTGGGGTATGTGGAGTTACAGGCCATGCCCACCTTTAGTTTGTGATTTTAAGCTTCTCTGTGTGTCTAGCTAGGTAAAAGCCATCTAGCTGCAAGAGATTTTACCTGTTAATTTTTTTCAAATATATATTGTTTTATATAGGCATCCCCAACTGGGGTGGGGGTGTCAGAATTTGTGGTACTTTCTGGAAGTAAGCGACACAATTCACTTAACACAAAAAGTAAATTAAAATGTCAACATGATAGAAAAAGATGGGGTTCTGGGACTTCATGGAGTCTAGAGTGAATATAAAATCTTTGGGTCTAAGGGTTCAACTTTCTTCCTTCCTTCTGTTAGCTGAGTGGGAATTTAAGTTATTATAAGGTTTTGAAAACTGATCCTTTTTCACAATTCTATGGAAATAATGGAAAAGTTTTGTACTTAATCAGAATTTTAATTTATTTTCAGAAATGACTGAAGCTAAAGAGAATAAATGGCCTACCAGTCAAAACTCAAATAAAATCATCCATTTCCACAAGACTATGAAGATAAACAAGGTACATTTCATAAATAAATACATCTTACTCATTGGACTTTAGTCTAACAGAAATCTACTACCCTTGTCTCTCAAGCCTCTTCTACCAGAACCATGAGAACGATGTGAAAATTTTATCAGGTACAAGAGGCAGGAAGTGGTTGACAAGCACATGCTTTCAAAGACACAAAAAGACCTTGGTAGGGGTGGCTGCTTTTATTAGCTCTGAAATGAAATGGGTTGAATATGTTTGACCAAAAAGTAGCCACATAAAGGTAGAAAAAAAGAAAAGTTGATCTGACAAGATTCTGATGAAACATACTACCCAAACAATTCTGAATTATTGAGAGTTTAACATAGTCTTCTCTAAGATTATAGACTGAAGTTTTCTGATCAGGTCACTGGACTTAGGTTTGTTGATATCTCCACACACACAAATTCTCTTCTCATTGCCAAGGCATCCCTGGAAATGAGGTGGGCCCCAGAATTTAAGTGATGCTATTTTGATTATTTCATAGTGGGCAAGCACTGCTGAGATGAACCAGGTTGGTTGTATCACCATCTGCATTTTCCAATTTTGTCTTTTCCCATTCTGAATCTTAGCACTTAGAAGACCTAGTCATCTCACCTTCTCTATCGTGTTCATGTGGAAGCCTGTCTTGGTGATGCTGCTCCTGGAATTCTGTCATTGCTCTCAGTAACCAGTGCAACAGAACCCAGCAGGTGTGGGAGCCTGGCATAGTGATGTAGTTATGGAGAACCAAAAACACCTAGAGCAGCCACCCAATATCTGACAAGACAATGTCAGGTTTCCCCTTGCAAGTAGGTAGGCATGGAATTTTTATTTTGCTACAAAACACAAAAGTTTCCTTTTGGGGTAGTGTCGCAACCCCTGTGGTTGGGATTTGGAGGGTTCTCTGTCTTTGTGGATTTTTCATGCTTTTTGTAATTGCTTGAATTCCCTTCACAGCTGGATTCCTGAAGATGAGCTGAACTAATGCCTCCTCACCTAATGCATCCAGCAGCCCTTTCTTTATTAGATAACCTAATCTCCAGTTTCTTACACAGGCAACCTTTTCGCTTTCAGCATTTAGGTCAAACACAGAGTATTCTTCTTTTATGTAAAGTGGTGTCAGACATCTGAAACTTTAGTGGATTTCTGCAATCCTTCAGTAGGGGTGTGTTTGTGTGTGTGTGCGCGTGTGCTGTGAAATCATGTTTTAAATCCTTAAGGTAAGAATTTTAATGAGAAACAACTGCAAAGGAGCTCATTTTCTGAATTTGTGTCACTACTTTATTTTGAAAAAACGAGGTTTTGCTAACACCGGCCAGTTTTGACCAGGGTTGAGAAGAAGGAGGGTTGTTTTGAGTGTCTGAGCAGAATTGGAAAAATAAGTGAACACTCTTAAAGAGAAAGGACACGCTCTCTCTAGTGAAGAAACAGGAGAACGTTCAGCCATCCCACTAGGCCAGTGTTTTCCCAGCTCTGCAGCACTCTTGTAAATTTGTAAATTTGCCACAGCTCACTTGTAAATTTGCCAGGGTGGCAGGGACACATGACTCTTGGCTGGGAGGCATGCCAGCTATCAGAAGCCCCCAACTCTCAGGAGGGAGAAGGGGGCGGGTGCTCAGAGACCACCCTGGGTTATATTTATTTTGGGGGATTCCTGCTGGTACTGATAGCAAATCTCCCTGGACAGATGCAGCTCACATTGGAATGTCTTGTTGAGAATTCCCTCAACTCCCCAGTATCAGAACTAGCACCTTATAAAATAAACCCTCACATTACAACCAAAGGTAAGTATCTGGCCCTATATGTCACTGGATCTTTCAGGTTTTCTTGTGCTTGACTCCATCTTTCCAGAAACCCCTTGTTTATTCTCAGCAGACAGAAACCCATAATTTTTACTCATTTTATTGATTCTCCCTCTGTTCACAAATCCCCCATCATTCCTCTTGGTTCCTGGTTACCTCATTGTTTCGCAGTCTCCCAAGAATCATCTCACACCCACAAGCCAGACAGATTAATGTCCCTATTTCCCAAGGTGTGTGTTTGGTCTGACTCCAGCTGACCACTGGGATTTTGAGGCATAGCCTTATCCTAAGGGAAAACTTCCTCCCTTTTTATAATAAATTTATGCATATGGATGATACTTTGTCTGAACCTGAAAAACAAAACAACAACAACAAAAAAGTGACCTTTACAAACATTTTTGAGGCAGAACTTAACACTTCCTTACCATACAAAAACCTCTCTTAAATCTCTGAACCCTGAAAGACAGTACAGTCCCTCTTAGAAATTTGGATTGATTTGCATTGTAAATTAAGGACATTTTAAATTAATCTCAACGTGGGTCACTCAGCCAGTGGATTTGCTGGACTCAGATGTAGACAGGATGAGCTGGCTTCATCTATGCTATTGTCAATACCCACTGAACTCAACACCTGGAAGTTTCCAGAGCAGACTCAGAAGAGCACATCTTTTGTCAGCACTGGCTGAAAGATGGGCTTAGGGATACAGGGAGGTCAAGAAGTGTTTTGTTGGGCGGGGTTGTGGCTCCGTGGTAGAGCACTCGCCTGGCACGTGTGAGGCACTGAGTTTGATCCTCAGCACCACATAACAATAAACAAATAAATAAAGGCATTCTGTCCATATACCACTAATTTTTTTTTTAATAAAAAGAAGTGTTTTGTTCTCTTGAGGAAAGAAGGAAGGAAAAAAGTAAAAACAGTTCTAGAACAGCCTACTAGCATAAATTTTGTTTTAGGATGCTGTTCCAGCTTATTATAATTTTATCGGGTTCATTTCTCCAGTTTTTGAAGGATCAGCGGGAGTTACACGTGTCTTCCTTAAAAGAAAATTTATGGTTGGTCACTTGTAGCTCCTAATATTCAGGAAATTTCAGAGAGTACATTTTATGAACACATTAATGTTAGTTTTGTTGACATTTTGATGTTTTAGAATCATGTTCATGTCATGATATTTACCACATTCATGACTTTATTCAGAGAAACCAAAAATGAACAGTTGTAATGTATCCACATGGGGCAAATTCAATGTCAAAATAGCTAGTGCCGTCCCCGTTCCCTTCTTGTTCTCCCCTCCTTCCCTCTTTCCCTTCTTCCTTCTTTACCTTCCTTCTTTTTCTTTTGCCCCAGTGAACCAAAGGAAGCCATTCATCTAAAAGTCTAACATAAAATAAAGAATATTTCAATCTTGGCAGATTTCACTCTTTCATACATATTTCATACATGTTGCAATGAGTTCAATCATTGTTCAAAACTATGCTGTGATTCAAAGCAAGGTTAGATGATTTAGATAACAAGTTCCTGCCTTGGTTCGCTTATTTTGTTAGCAGGGTAGCTTAGGGTGAAAGTAACACAATGACTAGAAATTCTGGTCCCAATAGACAGATGGCTAAGAAAGGGGGCTTCAGGAACCAGAAGGTGGGGCCAGACTAGTCAGAATCATCCTTTTTTCATTTCCCTGTGCTGATTTTCACATTTTTTCTGACTGGCATGCCTGCTCTGCTCAGGGTGAGTACAAATCCTCAGCATATGCCCAACTGTGTGCACAAGCAAGAGAAAAGAGGTCTTTTACATATGAGTGTTGACAGCAATGTTGTCATTTGATGTAATCCTGGCAAACTTTTCAAATTTACACCTGCACACAGATTTACCTTAAATTCAGGCACCCATTTTAACTCCTTGCATCTATTTTAATAAAGTAGCCATGTCACCTCAAACAACAAAATCCCCATTGACCTTTGAAAGCATACATTAAAGAGTAATGTCAGAGTAAAGGAGATGATACCTATGTCATTTCTTTTTCTAATAAATTAGCTAGTCTATAATTGAGCCAAGTAATTTCCAGTTCTCTTGTTTCCAGATGGATTATCCATTTCATGGTAGATGGAACTGCCCAAGATGGCTGTGGTAAGATCTCACATCACACACACTCTTCTTACAAATTGATGTGGAAACCCTTCTGAGAAAGCACTGTGATTTGTATTCCCTCTTCTCAAATCTGAGAAGGCTTGTGACTGTGGTGGAAGTGACACTGTGTGACTTCTAAAGCTAGGTCATAAAGGAAGATCTAGTTTCTACCTGGTTCTCGCGAGACACTTGCTCTTGGAACCTTGCCACCATGCTGTGAAGAATCCAAGCAGTCACAGACTGAGGCCCCACATAGGTGTTCCAGATGACAACCCCAGCTTCGATCCCTCTTGTCAGCCAGCATCACTCACCAGTCAAATGCACAAGTGACCTTCAGGTGATTCCTCAGTCCCTAGGACCTGAGGAACTAAGCTGTCCCTGCTGAGCCCTGCCCAAATTGCAGGTGTGTGTGTGTGTGTGTGTGTGTGTGTGTGTGTGTGTGAGAGAGAGAGAGAGAGAGAGAGAGAGAGAGAGAGAGAGAGAGAGAAGAAGAGGAAGAAGAGGAGGAGGAGGAGGAGGAAGAAGAAAATATAAAATTGTTGGTTTAAGCCATTGTTTCTTTTCTTATATACCCATCAATTATGTTAACCTTGAGCTCTTCCCTCCCACCGGGAATTTGTTGTTGGTCCTATCAATGTCATACATATAAACATCTGCATATCATGAAACCATCTAAACCAGGATCTTGAGTTCCTAAGATTTAGCCACTGGAAAAAGTAAAATTCCTTTCAAGATGAGTACCATGAACTAAGAAAAAAGAAAATTTAGAGCAAATCCATAGGAATGTAGCAACAGTTACCATTAGATATCTACAGATGACATAAATTGGAAAATACTTCTTGAAATAGAGAACTGTATTTAAAAGATCAGAAGAGGAAGCTGAAGAAAGAAAGATGGAAAAGTCAGCAGAATATAACATAAGCTAAGTCCTGATCCCAGGATGAAGCTGGTGTTTGTATCTCAGAATCTCAAGATTTGGCCTAATTCACTACTCTTACCAGGTCTCTGAGTGCCATTTGCTATGAAAAGTTGTTATCTAGTTTCTGTTTGGATAGCTTTGGTGTCAGAAGAGTCCTCTTCACTTCCCTGTTGGAGATGTCTTCCTTATGCTGAGCTAATACCACTCTTCCTGCAGTTTCTACCTTTTGCCTGTATCATGGAGTGGCATCTTGTATAGGAGCTTTGGCGCCAAGTCAACATAAGGCAGCAATTGCATATGACCAAACATAATATTGAAAGTTCTTAGGTTAAGCAACCAAACAGTTGTCAACCCATGATTTCTCAGCTAGCTTTTCTTCCCCTATTGGAACTGATTACTGCTTCTTTGGTTGAGAAGCAGAGAAAGTAGTTGGCTTACATATCACAAATAAGTGGATTTAAAAAATGTCCTTTTCAGAGTTGGGATGTAGCTCAGTGGCAAAGCACATACCTGGCTTGTGTAAAGGCCTAGGTTCAATCTTCAGTACCAAAAAAAAAAAAAAAAAATTTAAAGATATTTCAAGGCTAGAATCACAAAATGGAGAGGTGCTCTTGCTCTGAGAGGCAACATGGATGTGAGATGAGGAATTCATGTTTATTGTCTCCTGTTGATTCTGGGGCACATGCATGATCATTAAGCTGATTAGCTGGAGGAGTCACCCACACTACATAATTACATGTTTGTCTTAAACATATTACTATTTTTGTGGAACTCATGTAATTGAATTTGTGTCAATTAGTTAAAGAAATATAACATGACACCAGTGTCGATCCATTGTATAAATCTTCCACAAAGCAGGTCTAATATCTTCTCTAGGAAAGCCTTCTGTAGATGGTTAATATATTCTTGAGGCAGCTCCACACATCATCATTCCTTTAAAGGATTCTCAGAAGATGGTTTAGAGCCTCTTACTCGTCTGCATTTCTCCTCAGAACAGGTCTGAACCTATCATTAAGTACAAACTGCAGCACTGACGAGATTGTGTATATGTACTCAGGGCAGCATACACAAATGACAGATACATGCACCCTCTGAATTCTACCCCCCCTTCAGTTACTCCAGTCAAAAATTACATTCCCGTTTTTGGCAACTAAATCTTATTTTTGAATTATACTCACCAATATCTGGATTGGATCTTATAAAATATTTAAGCATCTACAAAGTTATATAGCAGACATTTACAAACCAAAATTAACATATGTTAACGGCTTGTCTTATTTATTTCAGATTGTTCAATCTTTCTTTATTTGCTCAGGTCTTCCAAATACTGTGTTTCTGCACCCATTTGACTTTGTCAAGAGTCATCGATTCAACAATTATTTGTTAAATCCCCACAGTGTCCTCTTTGGACTCCTAATTTTACTATTTAAATGTGCTCACGTTATTTAAAATTTTGATTAGGGATTCTTTGTGTACAACATGTTTTAACAACAACAAATGGAACAGGTTGATAACAGTCCTCTGTGTTCTGTCACTAATGACAATCTTTTCGACTGGCTGAAGCATTATTTCATATCTATGAGCTTGTGCCTTTGTTCATGGTGTTCTTTGTGCTGTTTCTTTGTGCTGATGGAAGCTTTCTTCCTCTATGTTGCTTGCTCATATCATTTGATCCTTTGAGGCCCAGTATCAATGGCTCCAAGAACGCTTTCCTGAGCATCACTTGTTAATTTAGGTGCACTGCTCTATTGTGGCACCTGTGCTCTCTCGTAATCATTGACCACTTGTCAATCTTCCCATCTTGAATCTTTAAGTTCTTTAAGAGCAAAACTGTTGTTTTTAAAAGCACTAGTTCACATTATGTGCTCAAAAAATGCTTATTAAACAAACGCATAAGAATATAGCATCTTAGCCAAATCACCCTTCCTTCCATTGCAGGAATCCCTTCCCCAGTTCCTCTGACAGATCATCACTCTGCCCCCACAGGGAACCCCTTATTTGAATGGTTCTGGATTTTGAAAGTCCTTTCTCATATGAAGTCCCCAAATCAGTTTCCTATAAAAACACTGTAAGTTCTCATTATAAATAAATCAAGTCTCTTTTCTGAATGTCAAAGATGCTTTTATGGTACTCACTTGGGTAACTAAGTAGTTATTAGTGAGCATGTTTTATGCATAGTTAGCAGAGCTAAAGAAATTATTTGAGTGCTCAGGATTGAGGCACTTTTAGGGGCATCCCATTAAGGATTTTTACCCTGAATTCTTTCCAGAAGCTAATTGGGGCTGTGAAGACCACAGAGCACAGGTGTTCCATGTTCTCTACAGCTCACATTCCTACATAAACATGCCATACTTTCTCGAGCATGGCGAGCTACTGGGTGGTCTTTAGGCTGCCTGCAAAGGGAAACAAGTTGGACTCCTGTCTCATTGCTAATCATTTGAAGACCTGGTTACCATACAGCTAGATTTTATTCTGGACTCTCTATTTACTGACTCCATGAGTTCTTGCTTCAGGGGGAACCTAAGTGACTAAATCTGGTCCCAAACCTAATTGAATAGCCAAAGAGTTGTAGAGAATGTGAAACTTTGGATCAATGGTAACGTCTGTGCTAAGTTCCATGCCTTTCTCTAGGCATTTGATCATAACCATACTTCACATGGCAGAAGCAGTTGACATTTTCTCCTAGGAATATGGAAACAAACCATTGCCTTAAGAGTCCAGATCATGGATTTTTCCAAAAGGTAAGTAGTTGGCAAATTTTTATAAGGCAGTACTGACTGTCCTTTAGTCTAGAATGTCAGGGCTTCTGGAGTGCCAGGCACTGTTCTGGGTACTTTGCAGGCCTCACCGCATGGAATCCTCATAAGAACCCCGAAAAAATAAACGTAACTATCCCTATTTTGTAGACGAGGCACTGAGTCTCACGAAAATTTATAGTTATGTGTGGTAGCGCCTGTCTGTAATCTCAGCAGTTACATAGACTGAGGCAGGAAGATCACAAGTTAAAAGCCAGACTCAGCAACTTAGTGAGGCTCTAAGCACCTAAGTGAGACTCTGTCTCAAAACAAAATATTAAAAGGGCTAGAGATGTGGCACAATGGTTAAGCATCCCTGGATTCAATCCCTAGTATATAAAAAAAAAGAAAGAAAGAAAGAAAATTAAGAAACCTGTCCAGTATCTTAGAATTACTCAGGTTCAGAAACCATTTAAATCCAGAATGTTCTGACTCCAAAGTCCATGTGCTTGATACCTGGTTGTGCAGTTTCTTGGTTCAAAATCAGCTTCACCTTGTGACTTTGCCTTTGGAGTCGAGCTCTTCACTTCCTGATTCTCTATTTCTGGATCATCATCTTCTTCCCCCTCCCCTGCCTGTGACTGGGTACCATCCACTTACGACAAAGTTATGACACACGTGCCTTATCAAGCAGAGTGTGTCTAATTTCACTTTAAAATGACATCATCCTTAGAAATCTCTAGAATACATGTAGATTATTGTTTGAATGTCTAGTAATTTTTCTCTTTTACCTGGACTTTGGGTTAACAAGAGGAGAACAGAACGAGGAGGAAGGGCTGAACTTAATACAACCCAACAGAAATATTTAGTAAGATGTCAAATTTATTCCAAAAACCTGAATCCTCTGGCTTGATAAGTCAGAGTGTTGGCTAATACTCATCATGAGTATTTTGCTCATTTCTTTGGCTTCCCCAACCCTCCACAGATCTTGAAGTTCCTTTTCCTTATAAAAATTCTTTCAGGGGCTGGGGTTGTGGCTCAGCGGTAGAACGCTCGCCTAGCACATGCAAGGCCCTGGGTTCGATCCTCAGCACCACGTAACAATAAGGTATTGTGTCCAACTACAACTAAAAAATAAATATTAAAAAAATTCTTTCAATGAGGGGTTGACTATACCTAACTCACTGCCTGTTTTTGTAAATAGAGTTTTAATGCAACACAGTCATGTTCAATATTTTGCATGTCATCTGTGGCTGTTTTCACGCTACAAAGACAGAGTGAGGTCGTTGCAATGTATGACCTACAAAGTCAATAAATATTTACTTTCTGACCCTTTGCAGAAATAATTTGCTGACCCCTGCTCTAGGCAGGGCAAAAATGTATTGATACTGCAGTCCCGCAGTGAATCTCTGTGTCTAGACTTGAGTTTGGAGGAATTTGAACTTGGATAGCTGGAATAGACCATTTTTAAAGCCTCTTCCAACCCTGCATTATATTTATATATATATAAATATTTTCCTCTCATAAATAAAGCACATGAGTAGGACTACGACAGCAGATGTGGGCTTGTAGCAAATCTTGGAATGCAATGGCAATGTTAAAAACAGGCATTTCTGTTTTGTTAATTCATGCTATGCTAATGCTCAAATATAGCAAACTCTGTAACCAGCACATTCGTTAAATCTTGAATAGTCTCTAAAGAGAGTTAAGGCTGAATACGTGGAAGTTAGCCACGTCTCATTATGTGAACATCAACAAGTATTGGAGAGAAATCTATCTACATAATTGTACCATTTTGCCTGTCGGTG